AAGGAGAAAATGAAAAAAACTGGGAAAACAAGGAGACAAGAGCAGAGGCAAGTTAATGTAGAAGGCAGAAAGAAAACAAACCAGACATGATACGGAGTCCGTCTTCCCTGGGTCACTGGCCAGTGTCCACAACTGGATGATCTTCCAGTGCTCAAATTCCAGGTGCAGCACTCAGATTTCACCTTGTTATCCTTCACAAAAATGTGACTCTATCCCATTTTTTTAAAAATACAATTTGATCTTCCACAAAAGCTGGCTTTATCAACTCTCCCAGCTCTTCATCAGCAGAAACAGACCTGTGCTAGGAGCTGCTAAACTGCAAGGAATACTTGAGGTGCTGGGTCACATTTAGACTTTAAACATAGATATTTTACAACAATATTCCAATGCGAAGGCATTTTAGAATTTAGGCTTAGAGAACTCATGTAAGCAGTAATAAAACAGAGTCAAGTTACTAAATAGCAATTCTAACCTTTTAGAATAGTAGTGAATAGTTGCATTTAAAATGAGTTATGTAAGAGTGAGAGAGCGAGAGAGCGAGCAAGAGAGAGCGAGCAAGAGAAACAGACAGGTAGACAGAAAGGATCTCACATTTACTGATCCATGCCCAAATTCCACCAAACACTGGGATGGGGTTGGCCGTAGGCTGAAGACATGAACCAGCAACTCAAACTGAGTGTGTATGGCAGAAACCCAACTTCTTGAGTAGTTGCTGCTGCTTCCTAAGGTTGAGCCTGAGCAGGAAATTAAAATTAGGAGAACTGGGACTTGAACCCAGGTACTCTGACAGGGGATGTGTCTGTCTCAATTTGTAGCTTAATTTCTAGGATGAACACCCACTTCCAGCTGTATTTTAAATGGTTTTACAGACTACAATATCTCATCACCTAAGGTGGGTTGTATTTTACATCATACAATTGGTTAGGAACAATATATTCTTACATTACAGGGGAAGAAATTAATTTTGAGACAGGAAGGCATCAGGGCTGGGAGATTTAAAGCAAATATTTGAACACAGGTTTTATGAATGTAAATATGACAAATTTCCACACCTGCCTTCCCAGGTATGGAAGTAACACCTAAAATCAAGACTCAACCAGTCTAAAATTGAACATTAAATTGCTGCTGGTAAGGATATTAATTTAACAAGAAATACAATATGGAAACTCTATCATGGTGAAGTGACAGATTCAATTCCCTTTAAAACGTAACTTTTGGAATCAAATAATTTTTAATCAACTCCTCTAAGACTTGCTGACAAACACCAAAGGCAATGAAATCTGTTTGCAATACTAAAGCCAAACTATGGTAATTATTCATCTATTTATAGACTTTTAGCAATAACACAGTGTCAAGAATTTAGAAGATTATTTTATGTTGATAATTCTAGTAAAAGGTATCTCTGAGCATCTCGTGGCTCCTCTTTATTTCAGTCTTTAATACATTTGAAATTTATATTGAAATATAGAAATTAATCATAAAAATCATGGTAGACATTTTCCTGATTGTATTTTTCTGGGTGTGTATATAATACATTTTTTTCCTTGGAGGAGCCTGACAAACCTAAATCAGTTTAGAAACCTTAAATTGTCCAAATAATTGTGCTCCAAGATCCACTACTTCATTCTTAATATTTGTTAAGCATCATGGCATTTATTGAATGGGTAGTAGGATTAGTTGGGAGAGGAGCAACATAAATGCATGATACACATTCTTGTTCTCAGAGTATTCCTGGATTTAGTGTTTCCATTCCAGACCTACTGAATTCAAATTATGAAATTTTGTGCTTTAATCAAGTGATCTTCCTGTAGGCTAAAGCTTGAGGACATCTATTCTAGGTATACCATTGGAGACCATCAGCTTAAAATTGGAATGATATCATTTTTAATTTCAATGGATCTTCAAAAATTTCATGGAATATATGTAACAGTTTTTTAAGAGATTCATTTATTTTCATTGTAAAGGTGGATATACAGAGGAGAGGAGAGACAAAGAGGAAGATCCTCCATCCGATGGTTCACTCCCCAAGTGACCTCGATGGCCGGAGCTGCACTGATCTGAAGCCAAGAGCCAGAAGCCTCCTCCTGGTCTCCCACATGGGCGCAGGATCCCAAGGCCCTGGGCCGTCCTTGACTGCTGTCTCAGGCCACACGCAGGGAGCTGGAAGGTAAGTGGGGCCACCGGGATTAGCACCAGCACCCACATGGGATCCTGGCGCGTGCAAGGTGAGAACTTTAACCTCTACGCTATTGCGCCAGGCCTTGGTATAATAAATCTTAAAACCCATGCAAATAAAGGAGTTTTCAAAAATTCAAGGTAAAAGATACTACGAATGCTATATACGAAATTACTTTTAAAATACTACAAATAGGGCCCGGTGCGGTGGCGCAAGTGGTTAAAGGTCCTCGCCTTGCACGCCCGGGATCCCATATGGGCGCCGGTTCTAATCCCGGCAGCCCTGCTTCCCTTCCAGCTCCCTGCCTGTGGCCTGGGAAAGCAGTCGAGGACGGCCCAAAGCTTTGGGACCCTGCACCCGCGTGGGAGACCCGGAAGAGGCTCCTGGCTTCGGATCGGCATAGTATCGGCCCGTTGCACTCACTTGGGGAGTGAATCATCAGACGGAAGATCTTCCTCTCTGTCTCTCCTCTCTGTATATCTGCCTTTCCAATAAAAAAATAATAAAAATAAATCTTTAAAAAAAATACTACAAATAGTTTATCATTTTTTCCCCTTTTCCATGTCTTCACCATCTTTTTCATAATATCCTTCCTAACTGGTGTAAATTAGATGCCAAATTGTATTTTTTATTTGTTCTTTTTTTTTCTGGTCAGTAAGGCTATTGACCTTTATTCCCCAAATATTTATGGGCCATTTGTATTTCTCCTTTCTGACAAATGTTTATTCAGGTGCTCTGCCCATTGGATTGGTGGTTAATTTGCTATGTACATCCTTCCTTCTCTCCCTCTTACTTCCTGATATATTCTGAATAGCAAGTCTTCGCAGGACAAGCAGGCTGCAGGTATTTTCTCCAGTTCCATCAACTGGTTGTCACTCCATGCTACTGATTATTTCACCTGCTATTCAGAAGCATCTCATTTTGATGTAATCTCATTTGTCTACTTTGATTACCTGTTCTTTTGGATTTTATTTTTTTAAAAGTCATTACCTTAACCAACCTCCTCAAAGTGTTTCTCTTGGGTTTTCCACTTATTTCATGGTCACAGGTCCTACATTTACATCTTTATTCTCTCTTGGGTTGATATTTGTATATAGTGAGAGAGAAGAACACATTTCATTTTTCTACATATATGTGTATATATGAAAATCCGGGCCTGGCACGATAGCGTAGTGGTTAAAGTCCTCACTTTGTACGTGCCGGGATCCCATATGAGCACCAGTTCTAATCTCAACAGCTCCACTTCCCATTCAGCTCCCTGCCTGTGGCCTGGGAAAGCAGTCGGGGACAGCCCAAAGCCTTGGGGCCCTGCACCTGCGTGGAGCACCCAGAACAGCTCCTGGCTCCTGGATTCGGATTAGCTCAGCTCCAGCATTGCTGTCACTTGGGAAGTAACCATCAGACGGAAGATCTTCCTCTCTATCTCTCCTCCTCTTTGTATATCCGCCTTTCCAATAAAAAAGAAGAATAAATCTTAAAAAAAAATCTATGTATATATATTGACAAGATTATACTTTCTCCATTGTATATATTTGCATCTTTACAAAAATCAATTGCGTTTCCTTAACCTGTGTTTAAGGGAAGGGGAAGCAGAGAATTCATCTCCCGATTAACTTTTCAAATGCCTTCAACGATGTGAAATGGCTCAGGTTAGTTCTATGTGGGTTCATTATGTGGGCGATAGGGTCCCAAATACTTTATCTATTACCTGTTACCTCTTAGGATGTGCATTAGCCAGAAACTGAATAGTAAATGTAAGAGGTGGGACTTGAATCAAGCTTTCAGATGAGGGATGGGCAAGTCAAAAGCAACAAATTAACCCTTGTACCAAATGTCCACCCACATATGTTGGTTTTTATATCAATACAATGTTGTTTTATTTACTATAGTTTCGTTATATGCTTTTAAGTCTGGAATTGTGATGTATCATGTTTATTTTACTTATTTATTCATAGATGAGGATAACTCTGGATGTTCTGTATCTTTTGTCATTCAATATGAATTTTAGGATATTTTTCTCTTTTGATATTGGTATTTTGCTGAGGGTTGCATAGAGTTTGTACACAGTTTTGGGAAATATAAATATTTTAATAATATCATTCTTCTAGCCATTAACGCAGACTACATTTATATGTTTTGTTTCTTTTATGTTTTTTTTCAATTTTTTACAATTTCCACTGTAAAGAACTTTCACTTTAATTAAATGCATTCCTATTTTTTATTGTGTATTGTTATTGTGAATATGATTTCTTTCATGATCTCCCTTTCAATAAAATGGTACTGGTATATTAAAAATGCTGCTTTTTATATGTTGACTTTGTATCCTGTAACCTTGCTGAATATTTTTAGTCCTAATATCTTTTTTGGTACAGTTTTTAGGCTTTTATATGTATAAAATCATGCCATCTACAAGGATAACCTTATCTTTTTTACATGTTTTCATGAACAAATATTTTATTTACCATCTCAAATAGTATTTTACCATATGCTTATGTGCTTTCCAAACACCTTTGCTAAAATCCTAATTGCCATGTGACTGTATAAGAAGTGGTGGCCTTTATAGTCCTCATAAATGGGGTTAGTGTCTTCATATACAGGACAGAGCTTGGAGAACTCTCTCATCGCTTCCAAAACGTGGGGAGAGAAGACAGTTTTCTGAACACAGAAGTAGACCCTCAAAGCCACTACATCTGTCAGCTGCTTGGCCTCCAAAACTGTGAAAAGCATTTCTGTTATTGTTACTGTTCCATCCATTCAGTTTATTATAACAGAACAAATAGAGTGTGCCACCAGCATATTAAAAATTCACATGAAAACTTCTTACCACATGCCCACATATCCACTGGTTTCCCGTATGGATCTTTACGTAAAACTTCTGGAGAAAGATATCCAGGTGTGCCAGCAAAACCTAGAGAGAACAGAGATTAATCAAAATTGAATTGAGAGAATTAATATTAAATGGAAGACTACAGAAACATTTTTGTGCTTCTTTATCTGGTGATATGTTTATTAGGAAAAAAAGATTCTCAGAGAAATAACAGTACAGATAAGTTTCTTTTTGTCTATGTAATTGGCTTTCAAATAAATGAGTATATTAAGAAAACATTTTCTTTAAAAATACTAAAGTAACTATCCTCATCTGAAAGTTTTCTTTAAAGGCATTCACATACATATACACACACATATATGGGGAGACTAAGAACCTAGCGTTAACTTTTTTTTTGTTAAAGATTTATGTTTATTTTTATTTAAAAGGCCATATAACAGAAAAGAGGAGAGATAAACAGATCTTCCACATGGCTGATTCACTATTCAAATGGCTATAATGGCCAGAGCTGTGCCAATCCAAAGCAGAGAGTAAGGAGCTTCTCCTGCATCTCCCACATGGTTTCAGGGGCCCAGGAACTTTAGCCAACCTCCACAGCTTTGCCAGGCTACAAGCAGGAAGCTGTGTCAGAAGGGGAGAAGCTGGAATACGAACCAGTGCCCATATGGGATGCCAGTACCACAGGCAGAAGCTTAGTCTACTATGCCACAGCATTGGCATTCTAGTACTATATTGGGCTCTCTAGTACTACATTGAATATTATGAATAGGAAGATTAATGATATTTTGTCTTCTTTATGAATAGTATGTTTCTACTCTAAAGCCAATAGGAATGCTGAAATAAAGAAAACACTAGAATTACTTGCCTTTATAAATTTAACCACTGCAACATAATGTCATTAAAAACTTTCAAGTTTAAAAAAGACCCAAATAGCAACCAAGCAAAGTAATTCTTCCATGAACCAAAAGAATGTTTGCTATCTTTTTTTTCCATAAGCAAGAAAATGCTAGAAATATATTGAAAAAGTATACTTTCAGTTCCATAGACAAATGAGGCTTTGCACTTTCAGTATTAAACTGATATGGTTTTCTCCTTGACCACTGTTGATAGTCCTATACAAATAAAGAAGTGGGTATTTCACTGCTGCTCTGTCAGCTATAAAAACTTTGCATGTATCTTTACAGGCAAAAAGCCCAGTTACACTCATATGGAAAGCTTACTTGCAAAAAAGACAATGAGCTCATAGAGTTAAAGTGACCTGTTCAAGATGATAGGGTTGTTAAGACTCTTGCCAGAATATAAATTCAGGTATTCTGCTTCAAAGTGTAAGTTTTCCCTTACAAATAATCCTGCTCCAAAAGTTTATGTAATCCAACAGACAAGATAAAACGCAATTTAAAACCAGAGGAGATTAAGCAACTCAATTCCAATACTTTTGTGATCCTCCAGCTAAGTTGCTGAAGATAAATTTGAACCTCAGGTCTGATAATAGAATCTTCCATGTTAGTCCTGAAATTAGTCATCACCTTGATCCAATTCTGGCAGCTGTATGACTTGGCCTCGGTTCCTATTTTGTTCTGACAAATAACTCAAGTATCTTATAAAGTGGAGTCCTACTTTACTCTAAGTAGAACTATAGTCCTATTTGTCCTATGTCTGGAATTCTCACTTCTTTTTACCTAGATTTCCATTGAGTTTGCAGTCTCTGCTATTTGAATTATCTAGAAGTTGCTAATGCCGATACTGACATAGTCTTTAGTTCATGCTGTTATTACGCATATTCAGAATAAGTGTATTAGCCTAACTGGGCTTTCACAAGTAGACTAAATATCACAAACCCATCGTACCCTGTGCAATATAAATTGTCATTCCATTACAGAAACTCAATTAAGTCTTTCTTCACTTAAAGCTTTTTATCAAGTCTTTAAAAATTTCTAGCATAAAGCCAAGCCACTCAATAACATATACAATTCCTTCCAATCTCATTAACTGCCACTCATTGCAGCATATTTTATGTTAATACCATATCAAACTTCTTGTTATTCCTGAAATAGAAACAACAGCTTCATGCCTCTGTGCCTTTCCATATGCCGATCCCTCTGCAATGCCTGCATCTCCTTGCATGCCAGTGGACAACTTCTCCCTAATTCTTCAGGTAACCACTGGCATTTCCTCAACTGTTTCATACTTGGCTCTTGTGTCCCTGGCCAGTGTTAAGGCAGTGCTACCCTGCATGATGAGGAGGGACTGGTTAAGAAGCCTCAGGTGATTGAAGGGCAGGATCATCTATTTAATTTAGCAACCTCCAGTAGTTGGATCTTTCCAGCTCTGCACTTGCTTGACCACTTCTTTTGGAACTCCTAAATCCTGTTACTGTAAAGTCTGCATCTCTGCTAGTATACACATTCCCAGAGATGAATTTGAAATTCATAATTTACAGAACTAACTCTAGTCCCACCTTTTTCCAGTGTGCAGCTTAACTAGAATGAGTTTATTTAGATGTCGAAAGGTGACAAAGCAAATGACATTATATTCATTGGGAGCAGCAACTAGGCACATATTTATTTTAATCAGTGCAACTAAATTTAGAAGAAATTATTGAAAGAAATAACAGGATGACTGAAACAAAACAAGCAGTAGGAAATAAAGTCTTGGATTGGGTCTTGGCAAAGAGAAGTTTGCCATTCCATCTATAACCATTAACCAGGTAGGGGCAGATTAGAGAGAGATGGTAGATCCTGGGCATCTTACATGAGACATACATTAGGGGTACAGAGAAGATTTTTTTAAAATCATACATATAATTTTTAAAAAAAATGACAGTTTATACACCTTATACCCCAGATTGTACAATTTTTACAGAATAAAGTTTTGTATAACAGTGAAAATGAATATTCATAGAGAAATATTTGCACTTAAAATCAAAGGAATAAGTACTTTTTGTCCTTTTTTCTGTTTGCTTTTATTCAAAGGAAAAGAGATCAGAAAGATGCTTAGAAAAGCATCTAACTTCAACACACTGAAAATCAAAACAGAAATAAGACTGAAGATTGGGGAAAGGTCCTATTTTAGAACTCTGTGAAAAACAGGTTAATTATGAGACATAGTAAACAGAGGCACAAGTAAAGCAAGGATACAACATTGCTCAGGCTGAATACTGCAATAGTTGTTAAGCTTGGTTGGAAATGCCATAATTGAAATTTCTTTACAGTTAATGTTTTCCTTAACTGTACATGTTGGGACTCAGAACATAATATTACAACCTATTGTGCCTTAACACTCACACCACATGAAAGTGGCTCGGCAGCCAGATCTTTTTGACCTACTCCTACCCTAATTTCTCCTGCTCTGTAATCTTCTGCAAGGTGGGACACAAAAATTATAATCCCTCTCCTATCAAACTATCCACAAAACCTAGAAATATCCTATCCTTTCACTCCCTTGGTCATAGAAACAAAAGTCACTGAAGTATCTTGAGTAGTTGGATCCTTGTTCCAGAAAGGGTCCCATCCCACAACCAAGGGGAGGAATTACAGAGAGAATCTGAACAGAAAATTCTTGGTGAATTCTGATGGTGACCACGTGTTTTTTTTTTTTTTTTGGTCCAAATTTCTACATGAGTGCCATTTTTCATCCAATCACAGCATAAAAATAGTATGCCCCGATTCCTTGGGTCTTAATTCTGTAAGCACTCACTTAATGAAAAATGGATTAATCTGCTATGCTTTTATTTTGCTAGCCTGTCTTTTGTTAGAGGATGACTATCTATGATCTAAAGATGAGTAATAAAAGAGGCCACATCTTTCTGTCTTGAATCAATAGAAATCTCAGTATTGATCAGAAACTTAAGCAGCAATTAAAGCACTGGCAAAGTAGTTGACACACAAAACAAAATACATGTATGTAAATGTATACTCTATAATATTAATATACTATTAATTATGTGTTAATAGATATTTTTAATTTTTAAATACCTTCCATTTTTCAAAGCAGGTTTTTGGCTTGTCTTGAGTTCACACATGATCACAAATTATTTCAAAGTTAAAAAAATACACTCTTTGAAAAGAAAAACTTTCCTATTAATTAGTGTGCAGGATCCATTTTCTCACCAATGTTTTCATAAAAATGCATATGTCATTTTCTTCTCTCATTAATATTTTCCCCTTAAGTTCTATTGTTAGGCACAAAATCTTAAGACCTAGTATCTTAAAATTAATCAGGTTGTTCAGAGAATGTTTGCATCTTATATGACTGGGAAGGAGCCAAGGGTTTCAAAAAAGATTACAGTCAGCATAAACGAGAGGGAGGCTGTACTCACCAAACCATGCCTGTTGGTCTCCTTGGACTTCTATGGCTAAGCCAAAGTCTGCCAGTTTCACAGCTGCTCCCTTGGATTTGCTAGCTAAAAGTAAATTCTCAGGCTTTATTTAGAAAGAAAAAAACAGAGGGGCTAGCATGAGAATCTATTTTAAGTGACAATCCAAAACTAACAACATTTTACAAGAATAAAGGAAAAAAAAATTCATGCACTGTCACCTCTCCTGGAGACTGTCATTCCTAAATCCCAGGGAAAATATGGTTAGAGAATGATTAAAAATAGTCATGTGTGCAGGCTTCAGACAGATGCATAAATGAATTGCAAAGATAGTAGTTAGAAGGGATAATACAATTGGGGAAACATCAAATGGAAAAGGCACCTGTCTTGACCTGTTCACATGCTTCTAAGGACCACTTGAGGTCCAGGTTTGGAGATGGACATTTACTTACTCAGATGTCTAAAAGAGAACAATGATTTTAATCAGAAGGAAACTTGGCAAAATGATAACAAGAGTTGGGCCAATCTACAGACATTTGGCAAAAGAAATGTGTAAATAAAATCCTAGTTGACTTCAAGAGTTTTTGGACCCAAATGTAGTGATTCTGAATGCCTCAATGTTTCCAAACAATTTCTGTAGAAATTTTGGAGACTTACTCTGAATTACATATCAAAATTGCTGTCTTTAAGAATCTGTTTATTCTTAAAGGCAGAAAGAGCATACTGCTGTTTGCCAAATGTTATAGATAGCTTTTGTATAAGCCAGTATTTTTTAAAATAAAAAATGATTTACATTTCTTCAAACTATGATTCAAAACACTCCTTGCATACTAATTGTATAAACTCAAAATATCACAAGAAACAAACATTTTTATTTTATTGAGTATTCATCAGTACTTAAGGACTGAGACTCAATTTTGGAATTAGGCTGTGTCTATAACCACTGTTTCCCAATCAGTGCATGAAGATACACTGAATCACTTGAAAGTAACCACCAGGACAAAGGACTGAATTTCTTCAGCACCCCTTCATGGATTTTATGAAATGAAGTTAGGTAGCCAGGAAAAGGAGGCTGATTAATGTACTTAATAGAGTCTACTCAGTTCCAGCAATCTGAATGAACAGATGGTTGAACTGGTATATACATGAGACCTCAGTTCAACATTTTATCTTTTTAACGGGGTAAGCATCAGCAAATTGAGAGGTATGTCTCAGACTGAAAATAGTTGGGAAACAATGGAATCTTTGAGTGCCAAAACAACTACAAATCCGATCAAAAAGGTTTTGTTTGTATGTTGACAAATAAGCAATTTTGAATTTTTCATTAATTTTACGTTTTTAATAACTGAATTGTCAATTCAGTTGTTTTGACCTTGTGTAAACACAGCCTAACCAGTATTTAACTTGTTGATTAAGCCAGCCATGCAAATTAGCAAAGACCCACAACCAGGATTTAGAAGAAATTAGGTTAAACAAACCTATGAGAAATCAGAGTATGGGGAAGTAAGTTTTAATCAAGTCCAGACTCTTCTTCAGGCTACTGCTGCTCACTGCCATCAGATTCCTGCTATTGTGACAACGGGTAATTGTGAAGAAACTTGTGTAATTTGGTAGGGTTGATGGAGTTTTGGAGCTACCTCAGCCCTAAATACACAATTCAGTTGAAATTTGAGATGAAGATATCTCAAGAATATGAAAAGATTTTGAAGCTGAAATAAGTTTCACTACAAGTTAATATTTAAATTTATTTGGAACTCTAACTCTCAATATACTAGCGTATCTGATCATGTTAAATTATTTGTATATGCTATTTTATTTTCACAACAAAAATTTATGGTTCAACACATGTGTGAATTTTCTGAGTTAATCAAAAAGTGATTTTCTTGTTTTAATGCTAATTTATGGACTAAATAACTTTGAATATCCACAGAAAACTGTAAGCAATAGCTGATTCTATTTCTTCCTGACCTTCACATGAAAATGAATTGAGATTTCAGAGATCTCTGCTAAATTCACTTGTGTTCCAATTTATCAACCACAGACTCATTCAAAGAAAGAGTTTCAACTATTTAAGACATTAGTCATTTTAGGACTTCTATGTCAAGTGGTATTCAAGTCTGTCAAGCAAATGATAGTGTCATAAAGGAATTAACTTTTTAAAAAATTTATTGACCTTTATGCTCTTATCATGATATAGAAAAGGTTCTGGGCAGTGCTGTGTGCTTTATGCCCTTAAACACCAAGGTTCTGCTATTTGAGAAGAAATGGAACACTTTAGAGATTTATCATGCCTGACCTCTATGGACTGAGGCGAAAATTCAAAACTAGAAGTGTTCTGGAAGGCCTCACTTTTGGGCTTTGTGAGTCACCAAGGAAATAATAAATCCAATTGGTTTGTGTTTCACTTATACCTATGAAGACTGTTCAGCTGCAGTTATGGTACGAGAAGAGGAAGGTATAGTTCAAGCTTGTATAGATCTAAAAATTCAGAATACTGGAATAGCTTTGTGCTTGTGTGTACTTTTCCTGGTAATTATGGAACAGAGATGGATGATGATGATTCCTTAAGGAATTATCTGCTTTTTAATGTTTTGTCACAAAATTGATTTAAATAGTCAGTTACAATAAAACATCAAATCTATCACAAAATTCAATTTCTGTGTATCTCCTGTAAGTGTATTAGTTTGAATAAAAAATGTCATCATGTCATGCAAAGGTATGGGAGGCTGAATCATTAAAAAGTCTACCACAATATTTTAACTAAGAGTGGTACATTTTTTTCTGAGCTCACTGAATCATTGCCAATCATAATGCCGCCAACTTAAAATGCAAACATATGCACTACAAATGTTCATGTCATGGGCAAGTTCAAACTCTGAATCTTCATATGGAGGAAGAGAATTTGCGGTTATATTCCACCAAAGGAGAAAGACCAGGTTTACCTAACTGGTGACCAACTCTTTCGAGAGGATCACCCCCACATGCTTATTTGCTATTATTTCAGCTTTCCAACATGCATAAATAGGTTCCGATGCAGCTATGGTTGACCAGAGGACACAGAGAAATAGATACATTAAGATCTAAAAATATATGAGAATCTGAGTTTATAACCTGTTTTTAAGTGGACTTGGCAATTTACAGACTATAGAAATTAATTAATTAGTTCTTTCATCTCTCAAATGTATATTATAAGGCAACTAATTTTTATCTTGAATCAGTATCTAAAATGCAATGTGATATTTTCACAAGGTCTCTGTTTTCTGCAGGGATAATGCACAAATGAGTGGTTACCACATTCCAGTGCAGCTGGACATTTCAGTGAGCAGAATAACATAATTTTTGTAATGGATGTTCATGATTTGAGAAATATCTGCACAAATGAAATCAAGTTATATGTAATCTATTACGTTAGTCCTTATATGGTGAAATGATTCCTAAATCTTTGCAATGCAATCACTTTCTGGGTTTGTTTTGATATGCATTCTGCTGACATTCTTGTACAAAGGTTTTTCCCCAGTCCATTGCTTCCTAATGATGGAGAATTTTCCATGACATCTGGTCTAAGTGTCAACAACCATTTATAGCACATCAGCTGCAATGAGCAACAACTGTTTGCAAGGTTTGTTCTGTAGTTCCATATGGACACAATAGCATGTTTTTCAATAGGATTCAAGATTTTCTTGAAATGGTTCAATATCTCAAATTACTGAGGCCAGTTGCTGGCATCATTTCAGAATCGGAAGGCATGGGAGGTAAAATAACTCAAATCTATCATTCTGTAAATGAGATAGCAATGTCCAAATACATGAAGTAAGGACTTGATACTAGACTCCCCAGTTCCTTCCTTTTAAAGAAATGACACTGAGGGAAATCTTGCTATGGCACAGAACAAGTTCATTTCTAAGAGATAGTCCATTCAGGAGGCACTTTCAAAAGACTCTGAAGTATTCAAAAGTATTTACTATCCATATACAAGCAAAACAGGGAGAAAATTCATAAAAATATATAGTTTTAATCTTGCTTCACCAATTTGTGTGATCTTTCCTATGGAACAGATTTGGCAAAGGTGATGATCATCTTCAGCATTAGTCATATTACTGATTCATCTGTGTACAAATATACAACTAATAGGAATATAGACTGAAACCACATGCTTCTCTTTTATGCTTCTTTGTTCTTTGAATAATAAAAAGCAGCTAGTTATTAATTTTGTTATACCATATTTTTTCTCTTTCATATTCTCTTGGATAATCTCTATCTTTTATAATTGCAAAGTCTCACTTGCTCAACAACACTTTATTCTTTCAAAGCTTCGGTGTGCCTTATTTTACTTATGTTGCCAAAGAAGGTAGAACAACATTTCCAGAAATTAATGAAATGAAATTGTTAGATGAATTGAGCAATTTGAATGTAAAACTCACCTGTTTCATTCATGTACATGACACAAATGATTATAGCTTTTTATTTTTAATGATTGAATTTATGCTCTTTTTTTCTATTTAAATATTTATTTCTTTCTTTATTTATTTGAAAGTGTTGGACATAAAAATATTTTCCATCTGCTGACTCATTTTCCAAATTGCTGCAATGGGCAAGGCTGCATTAGGCCAAAGCCAGGAGCCAGGAGATTCTCTTCTAGGTTTCCCGCATGTTAGCAGGAGTCCATGAACTTGAGCCATCTTTTGGTATTTTTACAGGACATTAGCAGGGAGCCAGACCAGAACTGGAGCAGCCAGGAGTTGCATCAGTGTTCATATGAGATACTGATATTTCAGGCAACAGTTTTACCCACAACATAACACTGTCCCTGAATTCATGTTCTTAACATAGCTGTTTCTAGCTGACATACTAAGAAATAGGAAGTATTATTTCTATTGGCATATCCATAGGACCAAGTTAGTAAGACTCAATCTGCACTGTTTCCCTATTTTCTATAGTATCAGCATACACTGTTGTGTAGAAGGAAAGAACCAAAATGGCACTCCAGTGCCCACACACCAATAACCTGGTTCTCCACTGCCTGATACACACTGAGTGCTCTGTAAGGAAATGTGAAGATGTCTAACTAAATTATTATATTTTTCATGCACATAATTTACTTCTAAA